CTCTTTTCTTGGCATTCTTTAGCTGTTAGAATTACGGTTTTAAGAAGTCAACTAATATTATATAGAATTATGCATTTTAACTGTTTTTAATTTGGAGAACTATGTTTTTTCATGTAACTGTAAATGATCTGATTATATTCCATGCCTCTGTAACAGGTTTTGAGTTTTTGACCTGTAATTTAATGATTAATTCTATATAAAAACTAAAAAAGGGAAGCTTGCTTCTATAAAAGAACAGATGAATAATGGGTACTTCAGTGGAATGGAGAACGTTGAGAGTTGTGTGATTCGGGCATTTGCATTAGAATCTTACATGACTCTGGTTTATTAAAAATCAATATTTATTCCATTATGAAAGTATTCGAGTATTGTAGAAACTGGATTTATAATCGTCAAATGAGTAAAAATGAATGTTGCCTGAAGTCATTTGATGGACGAAAGTATAGAACTACTCAGTCAGATGAAGCCAAGATGACTGCATGGAATCTAGTGTGATAATGAGTGGCATAAGATATTAAAAAATGTGAGAGAATGATGAAGCATTAGGATTTTAGCTTTTCAATATTGATAGTTTCGTTTATGTGTATGTTATATTAAGAAGGAGAAAGATCTTTAGTGAATTTATTTTCAAAGAACAGTGTCTGTGCTAACTATTCACATGTTGTGAAGGATTTTGGGCGTGATAAAGTGGGATCATAGCGACCTGTTATGATTTTGCTAGATTCTTGCTTTGGATGTTGTTCTGAAGGTTGGAAAGTAAATGGGGAAAGTTATGTGATGCAAAAAGGAGAGAGAAACACAGAAAAAGAAGCGGTGAGAGAGAAGAGATGAAGGATTAAGAATTTGGGAGAGAAATTGTAAGGACAGATATTTCAATAGTACTTCATACTCAAATGATTTTTCTATGTGAAGATGATCATCATTTTGTCCAAAGTTGGGAAATGATTTTACGAGAAGAAGTTTCTCTTGGTTCAGATCATCAAAAGCTTGACTTGCAAATTTGAAATAGCTCAAGCTTATAAATAGTAGCCAAACAAGCTCTTGTTTTTTGCTCATATTTCTTGAGTATTGTTCTGTTTTGAAGCTTACGGTGCTGTGGTTATAGGACGCTCAATATAAATCTGTTAATCTCTTACTTCATACAATTTCGATATTATGTGGTTTTCTGACTATACTGTAGTGTTCATGGTGCTCCATGTTTTCCTGGATAATTCAACAAGTTAAGCGGTTTTTTTAGGTTACTGATAAAATTCTTTGATGTCCAGAACTATTCAGCGACGTGTGGCAATGGGTAGACTACCGATACAGCACTCTCCCTCTGTGATATCTTTACAATCACAGAAAGATCAAGGGGGGTCAGAAGGTTCGGCATCTGGACCTGATCCAAAGCGCAAGAAGATTTGTTGTGCTTGCCCTGAGACAAAGAGGCTGAGGGACGAATGCGTTGTTGAACATGGTGAAGCTGCTTGTGCAAAATGGATTGAGGCTCATATCAAATGCCTACGTGCAGAAGGCTTCAATGTTTGAAATTTATGCAGTGCTCAACTTATAGAAATTTAAGAACAATGGAAGTTTTGTATAATGGCCTGTTTGATTTGACTTTATAGAGTTTTGAAAATGACCCAGTTCTTTTGGGCTGAATGCACTAAAAAAAACCAGCCTCCCAAAAATTCAAAATAAAGCAAGGTCAGTTTGTGCTAGCAATTTGAAGCCAAAATTTGTACACTCTTGATCTAGTACTCATGACATGCCCTTATTGTTGATTTTCATCACTTTCTATTTAGATAGTTTAATATGTTCTTGAAATTTCTGGTTCAATTGTTAACTCATTCCTTAAATTAATCTCCTTAAATAGCACTGTGAAATACAGCTGTTTCATGTTATCATGTTACTGGCCAGAAACTGCGCATTTCGTTACCTCCTTTGCTTCCCCTCAACATAATTGGCAGCCATTGGGAACTCAATTGTGTTGGGCTGTATGCAGTCTCTTACTGTCTCCTCAACCTTTAATTTTTTTTATTACAGAGGTATATTGTGCATTTATATTTTGTATTAGGTCGCCCTAATGGCTTATGATGTATAAAGGAACTTGAGTGGGCTGTTATATATAGTTACTCAGACTAAAGACTTGAAATCTTTATTATGAACTTCTTGATGTTAGTGAAAATCTGCCATGGTAAGTGGAAGCAACTTTCTCTTGTTGAGGGTGAAGTGTAAACTACTATAACTCTGTCCATTTTCTTTGTGGTTTTCTAATTTCATTTGTTTATCATCCTCTAGGAATTAGGGATTAGGACTTCATCTATAACAAATTGTGCTAAAAATTATACCTGGCCTCTGCTCCATTCTCCACTGGCTGAGGATTATTATCCCAATTACCAGTATTCATAAACCGCCATCTCTATATCTGCTCTGTGAGTTTTGCACCGACGTTATCTGAAAATCAAGGTCTGCAAAATTGTTTCTGATTGGCTAAGTTGAGCTTTCTTTTCTTCTTTTCCAATTGCGCTCTGCTCAGTGGAGTCAACATTGTTGTGTTTGGCCATTGGTTTGCATGCCACCATCTTTGCTGGTTCACCTCCATCTTTCTTTCTTATTTCCATTATGATATTATGTAAAGGTCGCTATATGCTGATATTTTTATCAACTTGAAGAATTGGAAAGAAGCTCTAGGCGTTCTTAGATTCAACAGCTTGTTTGCAAATAGTGAAAGAATCCTCTGGTGAGGCTTGAGGCACTATTCAGTGGTGTCAAGCTACTAAGAGGAGTCTTACTTTGGACCTCGGGTCCCTTTAACAGCAAACATTAATGGCACATGAGATGTTTGTCAATTGTCGACTCCAGTCCTTTTCAATCCAGTGTACCATGTATCAACCATGCTGTAAACACAGATCTATGATCAAATTGTAAGTTTTCTTCTGCTTTTCTTTACTTGTGACTCAAGACAAAAATTTCAGTTTCAGAGAGCAATGCCTCAAGCTGTTGAACTGTTTCATTCAGCAGACAAAAATTTCACTGCTAAATGACTCCGGACAAAAATTTCACTGCTAAACGAACTGTTTCATTCTGCAGACTGATATATAGCTTGTTGTTTGAGTTTGCTTAATTTTCAATATTATGCATACGCCTTTATCTGTTTGTAAAATACTTTTTTGCACTATTTTGGTTATTTTTAATAGAAAATATCAAATATATGTTGCCAGCTTTTAACTCTATTCAGTTTTTTTGTTTTCTTGGATATTTTCTTCTTTATTATTGTTCCCTTTTTGTCAAATTTTCTCAAAGCAAATGTGCTGTAAGGTTTTGCATTGCAGTACACTTCAATGAAGAATAAGAATATAATAAGAGAAGTCGAGAACATGTAGACACTAATAATATTTCATTAATGACAGAACACAAGTAAAATTAAATGTAAAAGACAGACAGGGACACAAATTGACACAACAGGGGAGTACAACGATAAAACCTTATTCAAACATACTTAAATAGTATAAAGTTTTTGTGTCCCTGTAACTAATTATTTTGCGTTCATTCACCACAGGTACAGTCGATGCAAGCGCAGCTTGGACCGCACTTGCAATTGCCGTCGTTCTCAGCTGCTGGAGCATCCAACAGAACCGTCTCAGCGTAGCTGCAAAATACAAATCCACTGATTCAGTTACCAACAGAGATAAGTGTGTGAAAATTTTGACAGCAATTTTTTGTACTGATATTTCGTGGGGTGTTCAATAGAAATAAGTTTTTGAAGATTTCTTGTTGAGCGTGAAAGGTACCTCTTGTCTGTCTCCACAATGTCCATGCTGAAGGTGTTACCCTTCCTGCAAATTAGCCGGTATTGCTTCGATCAGTATACATGGTTAAACAAGTAGTGTGTGTATATAGTTTTGCATGCAATGATAAAAAGACAAAGGGTAAGGACTATGGATCTTGGTGTTTAGCGTCTAGCGTTCCATTATGTATTGAATCACTTCATCTAAAAGTTTAATCTGTTAGAGAGGAGAGAAATTTATTCATAATCATTTCTTCAACATGCTCCTCGTGCCAGCCAGGTTTAGTGTTGAAATTCGAACCCAAGGCATGTGTGTTCTCCAATCCATATCACCAGGCTAGAAGTTTAAACTTTTAACGAGGTGATTCAACACATGATTCAAGAAAACACAGCACCATTATCTTATTTATAATATTGGCCCTTTAGGAATAAGAAATACTTACACGCATTGACTCTTGTCAGCACAGTCGCAGCTTCCGCACTTGTCCGACATGATTTTAGTGTTAAAAGGGAAGAGGGAACTGGAAATTGGAGTGGTTTTGTAATTGGTGTTGCTGATATATTTCAAACTCTATGCTGGAACTGCTATTTATAGTCGAAGGAATGCAGTTGGGAGGTAGGGTGGGGACCGGGTGGGGGTCCATGCCTTCTCTGTGTCAAGCGTGTTAGGACTTTGTAGGCCTCTACAAAGTTGCTTAGTCCAACTTGACCCGAACGTTTTATGGTAACTCGTTCTACTCTGATATTGACTTCATTTCTCTTATGGAGAGAGCCCCAACCATGATTTGAAAAGTTTAAGTTGTTAAAGAAATTATACATATATTGGTTAAGTGTTGTCTTCGACACACTCCTCTCATACGTGTCAAATTACAAAGGCTTGATATGTGACAATTTTTCATAAATGGATGTTACTGAGACCTTGGAATTCAAATTAATTCTTGAACGCTACTGACAAAGTTTAATGCTTTTCTCGCTTTTACTTTATTCCCAAGGAATTGTCCAAAGAAGGATTTAAATATTCTACTTTTGAAATATAAGCTTTTCTGTTGAAATATTCTCAGCCCCTGTTTGTTTCCCCTTTTTTCCCATTAAAATGAAAAATATGATCGTTATCCATTACATCAAACTATCAAATTTGAATTTTTATTTCTTGTGTGGATCCATAACGACTATATTTTTCATTTTCATTTTTATAAAAATGGGAAACAAACGCCCCTTCAATCTAATGTAAAACCCTATTTATTTCTACACTTTCGAGTTACCACAATGCTGTGAAGATAAATCATTGAAGTTTGGACTAATTATTGATTCTCCTAGTCAAATAGGTCGATTCATTCCATCACTTTTGAAACTTTTACTGAATTAAGCATCAAAGTCATCTTCGCCCCTTGCAAATAAATGAAATAAATAGAATTCTTACTAACCACAAGAATATGAAAAATATTTGAATTTTAGAATTACCCAAGCCTTTTCCATTTCATTGTTGAGAAGATTAGTGAAATTGATCATTTCAAATTGAAAAATGGATAGATTCTCCTTTTCTTGTTTTTGTCTGGGGGCGCAGGACAATTTATGTCGAAATATGTATTCAAATATTCATATTCCATCTTCTTTTTATCTAAAGGAGATGCCTAAATAATGGTTATCTTCTTCAATTTATTCTGACAGATGCAATTCAGGCGAATCAAAGAACTGCCATGATATTGAGGTGTCTCATCGCTCTGCGTTCGTGGAATCTTTGGTACATTAATCCTGACAGTAGAAGACGAGAATAAAAAAAGAAGGACAATTAGCACAAAACGTTTCCATCTTTGAATATTATTGTGAAAAACGTCCGTGTCTTTTATTTTTTGGTATTCTCACCCTACCTTCCACCTTTCATTGTGTAAAATGTTATTTTCATCAAATTTTTCAATAAAATGACGATTTTATTCTCCTATTGAAATAAAACAATAATAAAAGAAGGCAAAAATAAAACAAAACAAAAAATAAATAATTAATTGTAATCGTAGTCCTTAATTTTTTAAAATATTATAGCTTAGTCCTAAATTCTCCACCACCACCACCACTTTCACAAATCTACCAAGTCATTACCTATTGATCTACATAGTACCACCTTTCGCCCACCATCCTTGCCGGATTCCACCACCACTAGGGCTGTAATGGTTGTATCAATTTGTAGGAATATGCCTAGAAGTTAAGGTATTGGATCAGCAATTATCGATTTGTGATGAACGTCATTTGGCTCAAAATTTTCGTAAATAAGTGCTGCAATTTTTGCAATTACCCATTGCTTTTTGACCCTGAATTTCATTTCTTCCATGTTGATTTGTGTATTAAATCATATTTAAGCCATGAACTGATGGAAGAAAACCTCTTTCGCACGGGCGGATTGTTCTTCAGCCATGAACTGCCATTTCCAAGGCAAATTGGGGACGACCCATATGTTCATTGGACGTGTCATGAAGAGTAGATGCTTGTGGTGGTGGTCCGCGATTATGGGTCCCACCACCATCGTCCAAAAATTCGTATGAAAGTCGCGTAGTAGCTGTTTTTCAAGACGCAACTTGCTAGTTTTGATCTTGTGCATCTATGGATGATTGGTGACCGTGGCAAGCCGCGACTTGATGTGTATAATTCATTGGAATGTTAGGAATGTGAGCCGGCTGTTTTGGCTTGATTTTTTGGCAAATTCAAGTGGGTTCGAGGTAGGGGAGAGTGAGGCGAGGTTGGTGATGGTGGAGTCCGATGGCGTGGTGGCTAGAAGGTGGTACTATGTGGATCAATGGGTGGCGGCTTGATATGGTTGTGAAAGTGGTGGTGGTGAAAAATTTAGGATTAAACAGTAATGTTTTGAAAAATTTAGTACTATGATCACAATTAGTTATTTTTTTTTTGTTTTGTTTTATTTTTGTTTTGTTTGAATAAAAGGGTAAAATCGTCATTTTATTGGAAAATTTGATGGAAATGACCTTTTTGCAATGAAAGGTGGAAGGTAGAGGTGAAAATGCCAAACAATGAAAGATATAGACGTTTTGCACAATAACATTGAAAGGTGAGGACATTTTGTGTCAATTACCCAAAAAAGAAAAATGTCGTTCCCAAACATGACTTTTGAGCCATGTTGCAAATTTGAAAAAGAAGGTTCAACTTTCTTAACAAATATGGACAACAAGAAGGTGGCCATTATTCTTTGGATATTTGAAAAATGAGATACTCTACCAAAAAAAGAAGCTTCTAGGGTTTGGTTGCTCAAGTACCTCAAACAGTGTCTACATGGTGATTGGAACAGATTAAGAAATAAATAGAAATAAAACACAACAATTGAACACATCCAATTTGTGAAGCTTTTAACATATTTGATATGTTGTTTGAACACAAGCATAAACATTGATTAAAAAAATAAAATATAGAAAATATTTTTCTATAATCATGTCTAGTTTAATATAATATATGATACATATACAACCAAATCAAAATGTTTTCCGACGAATGTGCATGATATATCTAGTTTGCTAAATATGTATTTGTTAAAATCTGGGTGTGGCCAGTGATGGTGGTTCGGGTGGGGTTGTGAGTGTGGATTGGGTTGGATTTGGACATGGGGGTGACTATCCGGGGTTTTATGTGAAAAATTTTTATATATCTTTTTGTTCATTAATTAATTTTTTCATGAAAGGGTGAAAGAAATTGTATTTTCATGCGATCTTCGCAATCAAATGGACGGTGTTTGTCGATGAGGATGTGATTTATGATTATGTGAAAGGTTGGAGATGTTTGATACAAAAAGAAAAAAGAAAAAAACAGATTGGGGATAAATTAATAATATTTCAAAAAGACTGGGGACAAAAAGTGAAAAAGAAATCTTTTTTAATTAAATCCTATTTTTGTTAAATGCTTTTTCCTAAAAAACTTAAAAAGCATTAATTAAAACATAAAAAATCAAGGCGCGACGCCGCGAGCTCGAGCCGCTCCGAATTGGCAGACTCGCCCCTGAACGGCATAAAACCCCGCAAACGATAAATAGGGAAGACCGTCAAATCCTGTCCGTACACTTCAACACCGTCAATGGAAAACGAGCAGGCTATTCTGTATGAAACCCTAAGTCCTCTCGGCGCTGGTGCCACCGACACGCCAACACCGCCTCCGTCGACCACTCCTCCGCCGCTGTCACAAGATGATGAACCGTACGTCATCTTGCGAAGTGAGATTTCGCTCTCATCCGTTCGATGCCCTTCTCCGGCAACATTAGCTCCGGATTACTTCTCTCTCGATTTGAACGATGCTGAGGAGACGAAAGGGACTCCGCCATTTACTCCTCGTCCGCCGTCGCCTCCTCAGGCGCAGGAGGCTGCCATTACTAAGCCTGAGAGGACCCTAGAAGGGAATTGGTTTCGTGCTAATTGTCGCTTCAAAAGCCCAATGCTACAGCTCCATAGAGGTTTGAATTAAATTGTTTGACTATTTAAGTTTCTGAGTACATTAATCGAATTCTATGCCATGGAGAAAAAATCTGAGCTGAATTTTAGTTGAATCATATCGGAATATGAAAGCTAAATGCATGAAATGTTAGCAAGCATGAAGAATTTAGCTAGTTTGTGGTAGTAGGGAGTTATAAAATTTTGTTTGAAAATACGCCAAAAAAGAAGCAATTTAGTTGTTTTCTGATGCTGGTGCATGCAGAGATAATAGATTTTTGTGACTTTTTATCACCCACACCGGAAGAGCAAACATCACGCAATGCTGCCATAGAATCTGTTTCTGATGTTATAAAATATATCTGGGGCAATGCTAAGGTACGTCTGGTTATATGTCTATACAAGACTTCAAATATGTTCTCATGCACTTTTTTTTGTGAGATAATGAATTATTGAGACGTGTGAAGTTATCTGTTGTTTTGCAGGTAGAAGTTTTTGGTTCTTTTAAGACGGGACTTTATCTTCCATCCAGCGATGTTGACGTAAGCTTGCTGCTTGTTATTTCTTATTCTTTGAACAATGAACTTGCAGAGCTATTCTTTTTATATTTCTTCCAATTAAGCATTTTTAATCTTAGAAGCTAAAAGGTCACTGGTCTTTTGAAGATGTGGAAAATTTAGACTTAAAAAACCAGATACATTTTATGGGACATTATTTATTTTTGAAAGCTGGCAACAGACTTTTACTTTCCTTACAAAAGGGATAAATAGAGAGCGAGGCCTTTGGTGTCCCCTCTAGTCAAGAAATGGGCCTCACAATTACTAACCAATAGGCTTTTAGTACGTTCAGTACGAGACAAGAAAAGTTGCATGCTAATACTAATACGAACTTGGAGCAAACAATTGGCATTTGTTTGCCACATTTTTTTTTTTTTTTTTTTTTTTTGGGGGGGGGGGGTGGGGGTATGACCATTTGGTAAAAAACATAGCCCATCAAGCTTTTAGCAACACTAGTATCCAAAGCCTATTTTACTCAAACACTATTGTTAAAACACTGCATTCTGTTGTGACAAAACTTACACTCAACGCTAAAATGATCCTTTTGTGCAACCAAATGGACGGACCTGGTTCTCAACATCTTACACAAGTCCAAGCAATAAGTTACAATTACAATTTACTGTCAAAACAACAAAGGTCTGTTATAGGATGTTTCATTTTTCAATTGAAGTTGACTCCTGAATAATCTATGGGAATTGGTGATGAAAAATGATAGATATTAGTGATAGAATTGTAAAATTTTGATTTACTTCTACATCCAAAGAGATTTTCCTTACATTCATAACAAGTTAGGTCAAAAATCAATAAATTTGATTCTTCTAATTTTTAATTAATACAGCAGTAGAATATATCTACATCCAACAACATTTCCTTAATTTTAAGTAAGGTTCAGAAGAATACATTTGATAAATTTATTTTTAAAATTTGTGATAGTGAAGTATATTATTTAAACCAATAATTGTGTCTATAATTAGTCTATAGCAATAAATAATTTAGTAACATGTTATTCTAAAACAAAAGGGTGCAAGCCGAACTTGATTTATTGCTGGATGGAAGCTCGTATTTCTGGTTTTAGCTAGATTAAAACAAGTTTCTCTGGCTTGACTTTTAAATGAATTGGATAGTTTTTATTTATTTATTTTCCAAATTAGTCACAGCCCCCTACTGGAGTCACTTGACGCTTCTAACAGGTCCTTGTTGAAGCTCTAGTTAGTCATTTCGTCGCAATTTTAAGATCTACTCATGGAGTTGACTGATTCAGAAAGGAGAAAAATTAAAGGGTGAAGGAAAATATTAAAATTCACAGTGCTTATATGTCATTGTGGTTCATATTGCAAATGGAAACTGGGGAAGTCAAGAGAATGCAATTTTAGAATTTGAGAGGTATACATGCTCTTTCCATATGAGAGTAGAGTCTAGCTTTTTACTTTCAGATTTGAACTTCAGTTTGGGAGTAGATAGGTTTTGTCTTGTTTTGGGCATGATCTCTTTCCACGTGAATTAATGCAATTATTTTCCATAATAAGAACTTGTGAACTGAACACTCGGTCTTGTCTTGCAAACTTCATATCTTTTTTGGGTTTCACTGCTGACATCATAGGTTAAATGTGAATTTCAAATAATCTTCCACTTAATCATGTGTTCTGTACAATAAACATGATATCTGGAGTACTTGGTCATTGATGGTTGTTATCCCAAGGCATGAGCAATATTTTGTTCTTTGATTATAATTTGCATTGTTGGAAGAGTTTTCCTTCCAAGCTTACTAATTTTCTTATTATGCAAGGTTGTTTCTCCATGGATTGTAGACAATTGACTTATAATTTGGTGCTTGGTGGCAGGTTGTGATCTTGGGTTCAGAGATCAGAAGTCCTCAGCTTGGCTTACAGGCTCTTTCTAGGGCCCTTTCTCAAAAAGGAATCGCTAAGAAGATACAGGTCTGTTTTTGTAGAGTAAACTTCTCACTGTAAGTAAGTTCAAACATTTTCAAGGTTTTCTTGTCTTTTTGTCTGTTCCAATATCAGGTTATTGCAAGGGCTCGGGTACCAATTGTTAAATTTGTAGAGAAGAAAAGTGGTGTTTCCTTTGATATAAGGTTTGGCTATTCAACCTTCATCTTTTATTAGATTTCACAGTTCCACTATTGATTGGTTTATGAGAAATGAATCATAGATTGCTACTTATTACCATGCCTTTGACACTCTTTTCTCAATTGTAGCAAGTAGTGCGTTTAAGAGGATAGCTTTGTTGATTTATCTCTAGCAATTAACTGTCAAGATTCAGGAGACCAAGTTAGAAGGGAGACTAGGCCAAAATTAATTTCGCATTTGGTAGTTTCTAAGGATCTAAATGCTTTACATCTCCTAGTAGATTCTACTGGAAACATGGTGAATGGAATGGCGAAAAACGATTTATACGATTAACCCAAATTAATTGAGAACAAGGTTTAGTTTGTTGTGCAATTGTTATTGATTTCTGCAATATGACCTTCATTTAAAGATTCTCATTCCAAATTACCCGGTACTTGGCTACTCGTAGTATATGATATCAAGGATTCAAGGACAAATTTTGAGGGTAAAGCGAAAAAGTTACATCAGTTTTCTGCCTTTACAAATATCATCCAAAGCTTTATGCCAATTTCGACTGTCTCAATCGTCAATGGAGGGAGAGTCAAATTAGAAGTGAAGTCATCCGATGCATTGATAAAACCTTACCGATTAATATATGTTTTGGTGAACATGACAAATGAAAATCAGACTGAGACTAATATTTCTTTATGTTGGTAATGAACACTTGATTCAGTGACTTTTTCTTGTTCGTCGTCGTCGTCATCATTAGTATTATTTCCTTTTGGGTGGGGTTGGGGTGTTTGTATGGTGGTGCTTTTTAAGTGCTTATAAGCAGTGATGAAATGTGGATAGTAAGTGGGAGTAAATTGCGAATCTTAAAAAATATGTGAATAAAAAACATGTTTTGCCAGCTTAAATAATATTTAAGCTTTGCCAAATATGCTCTTATTTTCATTTCTTGGTTTTAAAGGAAAAGAAAAATTAACTTGGCATGTGGTAGTTTCTATGGATCTAAATACTTTAGATCTTTCATTAGATCTAGTGAAAAAGAGAATGGAATAACAAAGAAGGAATCATGTCGTCAGTACAAATTCTTAGGAACAAGGCTTAGTGCTTGTTTTGGCTAAACTTTTAAGTGCTTGGGGTTCAAAGGTTAAAAATGATGTTTGACCAGTTTGAAAAATCTTTGCCAAATATGCTCTTAGTTTGTTGTGGTGGTGGTGTTGATAATGTGCACGATATGGTTATTTTAAAGGTTCTCATTCCTAAATACCTGTACTCGCAGAATATGATAACAAGGATTCTAAGACAAACTTTGATTGTAAAGCCAAAAAGTTAACAACAATTATCCACTTTTTCAACTCTCATCTAAACTCCCTGCCAATTCTGACAAACTTAACCATGAACGGTGGAAATATCAAATTAGAAATGAAGCCTTCTTAAACTTCGATATCAGTTTTGACAGGAGCCAATGCATTTATAAACCTTTAAGAATAATCTCTGGACAAATGAAAATTTTACCATGGCTGTTATTTCTTTATTTTGGAAGGACGCTTAATTAGGCAATTTTTTCTTGTTCTTCTTCATTGTATTTATGGTCATCGTTTCGTCCTAAGTTGCAATAACCCAGAAATTATGATGCACGAACACTGCTTCTTTGGTTCCTTGTTCGTGTCCCTCATGTATCCTATACTTACACTCCGTGATGCGTGGAAATGATCTTCTGCTCAAATGTTCAATGTTATCGTCTATACTTCTGCTACATTTTGACTTCTTTTTTGGTTTGATTTCTTATGTCTTGTCAACAGCTTTGACATTCAAAGTGGGCCGAAGTCTGCAGAGTTTATAACTGTATGTTCCATTAGCTCTTAGTTAATTTTATTATATTTTTGTTGGTACTATGATGATATTTCCATTAATTTTTTTAACTCTCTCGTAGGATGCTATATCTAAATGGCCCCCATTACGACCCTTGTGTCTGATTTTGAAAGTTTTTCTGCAGCAAAGAGAGTTGAACGAGGTGAATATTCATGTTTTAAGTTCATATGCCAGAAATATTTTCCATTTTCTTTTACTCGGGAGCACTTTTCCCTGTAGGTGTACACTGGTGGAATTGGTTCATATGCGCTCCTTGTCATGCTCATAGCAATGTTGCAGGTAATTAGACTAGAATAATGTTTCCAATATTGATATGACTATTCTATTGCATGCTAACTATAAGATACATAAACTTTATCATTAAATTAATTACGACAAGAGAAAAATAATGATCCTTTGCGCCATTGGAGGTCCTGCCTCTGTTTTGAAACAGAGTGAGTGATACCTTTGGTTACTGGAGTAGTTTCTGTTTCCAAAAGCACTGATAAACATAAACAAACAACAGAATAGGTCTGCTTTCCAATATTTCAGAAGTAGTGATGTTTTCTGCCTTGCCTTGGGCATGTTTATGGAAAGCATCAATTCTTGGATGAAAAGAGTCATAATTCTTTTAAACTTTATATTTATTCCTTGCTTTAGCTGTTTATTGGATTTGTTTGCCTGTCACTTCTAATATTTCAGAGTCAGCAAGATCGACAGGCTTCTCCGGAATATAACCTGGGAATTCTGCTGGTAAGCTTGTGAGGTGATCGTATATAGTATATGATTTTTTTTCTTTTCTTTATTTTTTTATTTTATTATTTTTCTGAACTTTGAGATTCCTGTTTAAATTGTTCCATTTTATATTTTCATTTTCACATTGACCCAAAAGCTAATGTGTTGTATATTTTTTGTTAAAGGCAAATAGCCAGATTTATGTGCTGGTCTTTTTTCTTTCTTGAGAATGTAGTGAATGATCATTTTAGTCAATTAGGAAAATGGCATGTAAACCAGGATACTGTATATTAGTTGGTTGCATTGGAAGATTTAAGGACACCCTTTTCGGAATGGAGGATTCTCTTTGTACAAATGAAAGTAGTCCATGTAATTTCATACTACATCAGTCAAAACTTCAATACACATTTGATGTTTTGTTATAACTGTGAGTACTACAAGCCTAAAAGTAGTGGATGTGATTTGCAGATTTGCTGTTCCTTTAGCTAAAATAAATAAGTTATTTCTTGGAGAAACTTCAGTGAAAGATTACTGTTATAAGCAATTTAACCTTTGAAACTTCTCTTCTTTCTTTACCCTGGAAGAGTGTGACAGCATTACATTGTGCATAGTCTAGTCTTTTTTATTTCTTTCATTTTTGTTGGATGAAGTTGAATTTGGATTAAATCTTGTTTTAAAGACATTCTTTCCTAATTAACAAACTACTTTCTCTATAAAACTATAATAATAATTATTAGTTTATTACAGTAAGCTTATGGATTCTAAAGTTTATAATGTTTATGTTTTTGGAATATAGGTGAACTTTTTTGACGTATATGGTCGCAAGTTGAATACAACTGATGTTGGTGTATCTTGCAATGGGGGAGGCACTTTCTTCTTAAAAAGCAGCAAGGGGTAACGTTTTCTTCAATGGTGTTGAAACTCTTAACTTGATCTAGTGATTTTTATTGAGTTTGATTGTTTTACCAAGGTGCTTTCTCTTCTGTTCAGGTTTTTAGTTAAAGGAAAGCCCTCTGTTATTGCCATTGAGGACCCACAGGTAACATAATAAATTTCGATACATTTTGATTTCTTCTCCTCAAAGGAACTCTCTGGAAAGCACAGAACACATTCATTGGATATGTTTCTGAGCACAGGATTTATGTTGCTGCATCTTTCAGTGTTTTTTTTCTCTCTATTCATTATTTTGGTTTGCTGCTTTCATTGAGATATTTGAGAGACTATATATGACTTCTATAGTTCTATGTGGGAGGAAAAACAGAAAACGAGCATCTTGCACAGTTTATTATATTCTGTAATTATTCACATATTTGTTCTGGCACAGGATCCAGATAATGACATAGGGAAGAGCTCCTACAACTATTTTCAGGTAAGATCCTTCCTAACACCATATTTTTTGCATTGCTTTGCTTTACTTCCTGACTTCAATAACTATTTACGAATTGAAGACATAAAGTGAATTAGGAACGAAAACGTATTTTGTATTCTTGAGTGACTCACCTGTACAAAGGTCATGACTGGTTGCTTCCTTGGCCTCGCAAATAGCTGCTTTGTCTCCTACCCCAAAACAAAAAACCATAAAAAGTAAAAAAGGAAAAATCTGGGGGAGATTTCTGCTGTTTCCTGTTATCTCCTAATCTGTAGTTTAAGAGTACCAGATTTTCTTTTAGTTACTCGAAATAATTGCGGTAACGTCTGGACTCGCAACTGAGAGAAACTGCTGTCATACAGCTGTGTTAATAGCAGATCAAATTTGACTTTGCTCTTGCTCTTCGGTTGATTGCATAATTTGTGGGCCTGTAACTTTTCTAGTTTTATTATTCTCTATGTTCATGCTAGGGGGTCCTCAATATTTCTTCTGCTTTTCCATTTACTTTGTTTGAGGCCAAGTTTTTTTCTGGATCGTATTTGAGAAGTTGACTTATGTTACTGCAGGTTAGATCTGCTTTTGCAATGGCTTTCACTACGTTGACAAATGCAAAGGCCATAATGGGACTAGGCCCCAGCAGGAGCATTCTTGGCACTATAATCAGACCCGATGCAGTATTGCTGGAACGGAAACGAGGGTCTAGCGGAGAACTAACACTTCAGACCTTGCTTCCAGGTGCTGGAGAGCCATTGAAGCAACAATTTTCCGACAAGCAGGAGATTTATTGTAATTGGCAGTTAGATGATGATGAAGAACCACTCCCACGGGGACATGGGATCTCTGAGGATGGTTATGCCCAATTCTCGAGAAAGAAAAGAAGGGCTTCTAAGGAGAACAAGCCTGCGAAAAAGGTGAAAGAAAATAGGGACAGACGTGAAGAAATTGGCACAACTAAGGAGAGGAGTGCAAAGAAACAGCGTTGGAGACATCACCAACGTAATGGTGATAGCAACAGACAAAGTGGTGGCGGTGGCGGAGGCTCATCCTCTTCACATCTTGTTTATTAATTAGTTTTATGTGCTTAAATAGTCTTCCGGGTTTCTAAGCGGATGTAGTTCCTGCGATTAGGTACTTCCCCCCCCCCCCCCCCCCCCCGCGGGGGGGGGGGGGGGGGGGGGGGGGGGGGGGGGGGGGGTTAGGGGGTTCTCGAACCCCCAAACTATTATTCGGCGGGGGGGGGGGGGGGGGGGGGGGGAGGAATGTAGTTGAGGATGGGTTTATCAATTCCGACCCTTCTTATGATACGATTGCTAGAGCTTCCTTCTGTTGAAATGTTTACAATCAAGAGGGACCTGTTCAGTTTTGAGAGGCAGGCTCCTTGCCTCTTCTTTTAGCTTGCCTTTTTATCCGTTCACTAGAATTCTGAATCGAGAAAAAGTAACTAATGGTTGGGATTGTGATTCCTTTCCCACTTCCATCAATATAGTGTTTTATTTATTTATTTTTAAATCAAGTGCTACTGTCATTGCCTTATCTTTTATGAGCCCCTAGTCATCGTACGAGAAAGAACTTTTGGGAGTGACAAGAAAGAGGAGCTGGAGGAACTGTTAATGAAATTGAGGCGCTAATATGAAAATTTAAGGACTTCGTTATTTACATAATAACAATTTATTTGCAAAACCGAAACAATGATGGATCCATATTGGATTTGGAAGGCAAATGATCACATTAGACATAGTTTTGATTACTTGTGATATCTTATTTTGCAACAAATTTGGTGCTTAAAATTACTTATTTTGTTTATAAACACTTCGAAGCACTTGATATACCGTCCAGGGTCTGGACTTGCTTTTCAGAAGAGTTCTACTGTTAGTTAAAAAGTATCTTCCAAACTATTTAACAAATGAGTAGTTTATATTGGTTGGAGCTACCATAAGAAAGATACATAAATAAGTGGTCCGCCTCTCGGGGCATAGCCCAATGTTACAAAGGATAAGAGTGAGATTATCTTACGCATTGCTGATAGTTATAGTGTGGAGGTTCGATTCCTGAGACATGGAATTGGATTCCTTGTACGCGCAGTGCACATGAAGCTCTCGTTCCCTGACCTGTTGGGGGTACATCTCGCGATTTACCTCCTTCACAAAGCTCTAGGGGTGGGTAGAGCCAGTCCTGTGGTTTTTAGGACCTGAGGCGAGCTCCAAAAATTAGGCCCCCCCAAAAATCAACTTAAATGCAAAATTCAACAAAATTTATTGTGTATTATGCAACATATTGCTAACTTAAAACTTAATAGTAAAACAAAAAAATATATTTATTATAAAATAACAAAACTAACAACGTTTCAAACAATCATTTAAACAATAATTGTCTTGCTGTTTTAGATGCAAAAACATTAAATATGAATAATTTAGTTGTTCAACCATTTCTTTCTCTAATAACAATATAGCTAATCCGTTCAATTTTTCTTGTAACATAGTTGATCGGAGGTAAGTTTTGATCAATTTCAATTTGGAGAAACTTCTTTTCACAAAATATCTCAATCATTTCACAATTAAAGTTTTCAATATAGTTACTATGTGTGCCTGTGCAATTGATCTTACAATAACCAATCATATAAGCCGACTAGGCCACAATTATATAAGCCGACAAGACTTCAAATATTTCCAATATATTTAATAACAAGTTAGGTAAGCCATTGCTTACTTGAGAAGCAGAATTTCGACGAGAATGATGGAATCATGCCGTTGAGAATCCCACCATTACAATTTACAAGCCTGAAATAAAAATTTAGCATCAACCACCAATACAAAACCAAAATCAAAAAGTGGAAACCAAACCAAACCATAGACAAAATTCATTCAAGTTGATATTGTTTACCTTACTACTGACATATCTCACAAAAACAACAAACATAAAATATCTATGACACCAATCGTGTGCATAAAGTCTTCATACAACATGAGATTGAACAGGAGCACCAAGTAAAGGAAAACAACAATCTGAAATGAAAGGTCCAAATTCCAACAGCACCTTGGGGAACAGGGGAAGGGCCTCAAGATTGACAATTTGGTTGCGGCAAGATGACGAAACCATTTTATACTTGAAATTTGTAATGCATCAAGACAAATATTTGATTATTTTAAGAGATTAAAGAATTGAGTTAGTGATTGATACATTAATATACGAGGATCCAACTAAGTTCTATACATTAATCTTCTACTTTCTTCTCTCATACAGTCATAAATTCATAATAAGAAATGGTAGCCCATTGGAACAATTAACCCGAACTTGGTGGACAAAAGCACATCGTACATAGAAATATAATTCTCTCAATGTTTCACCAACTTGGTGGAAAATCCATGTAAAACTATTGCGCAGATGACGAACTGGAAAATGAAGACATGTAAATTACCTTTTTTTGTAATGCCATAAGGTTTGATTCTTCGAAAGGCAGATAGCCAGCCATAAGGACGAAAATGATAACACCACATGACCAGAGATCTGCCTTAGCTCCATCATAACCTTTATTGTTGATCACCTGGATATTTAGCTAACCAAAAAGAGTGAGCGTGAAGAATTATACAGAAAATATAAATTATAGGATTTGCACCAAAAGCTAATTATATTATATACCTCAAGAATTATTCAGAAAATATAAAGTATAGGATTTGCCCCAAAAGCTAATTATATACCTCAGGAGCAACATAATTTGGTGTTCCAAATGTTGTGTGAGGCAACCCATCTTCCTACACGAGCAAATTGAGAATCTAAGCGTGAAAAATCTCGTGCATCTTTAGTTATGTTAATGTTACTATATCGAAAAATAGAAGATTATGATCAACAAAAAGGTACACTAACTTATTGATTAGGATTAGCCATGTTCTATATGTTTTAGGTCTATATACTTACTTTTGAGGAGCATTCATTGTCGAAATTGCTTTTGATAGATACCAATTGTCAAAATCACAAGCCTTTCGGGACATTAATTGAATAACACAAATACTCTCAAAAGAAATAAGCTGCGGTGCAAGTTTGCCCTTTTTTAATTAATCTGATTTTGCTCCCTACTTTTATGTTCTATGGTGAAATGTACAGAACCTACGAAATAACTCGTACTGGTTCTATGTAAAAGTATAAATACCCTTATGTGCCAAAGGAAATAAAAAAAAGAATGTGGATTACAAAAAAATGACAAGTTTTTGTGCAGTACAATACTAACTTGAACTTGTTGAGGCAGAGCACTCAATCCAAAGTCTAAAACTTAAAGAACTCCATTGGCATCCAGCAACAAATTCTCTGGCTATAAATCATGAAATGAAATTAAAACCGGTCTTTTGTTGTCCCAAAAAATACAACAATTCCAATTTTCTATAAAAAATAAAAAATGAAGCGAGCAACTAAAAATAAAGTTACATCCTCATCTTCAGGCCTCTGTGGCAGACGCCTCTGTTAAAGCAGTAATCTACTGCATTGATGAGCTGCTGAAAATATTTTCTTGCTTCATCTTCTTTCAATCTGCCTTTAGTAGCCTGGCCTCAAAAAATGATACCATGTTTGCACTTTGTTCAATTACATCTAATTAGATTATCATACTGGAATCATAAAGCAGAAGCAATCATAAACTTACAATTTTGTCAAAGAGTTCACCTCCAGTAACAAATTCCATAACAATATATATCTTCATTTTGCTGGCCATAACCTAGATTATGCCATATTCATCAGTCAGAAAACGAAATATACAAGAAACACATATAAAATCCACATCTCCAGGAACATCCGACACTATATGCCTAATTATTCCTCGAGAAGTTGGCTAAACAAGTTAAATTCCAACCTCATACATGCGGATGACATTTGGGTGTCTGATTAATTTCATGGTGGAGATTTCGCGCTTAATCTACAAGTTAAATAACATTAAGATCAATCAGAAATGTTTTAAATATGTCAAAGGTGGGGAAATAAAGAAGCATAAGAACAAAGATACACCTAGGCAACTATGGGAAGTGCCCAAAATAAAAGACCTGTGAAACAAAACTTTAAGAAAATTCATTCCATTGCGATCAACTTATAATTGAGAGTTAATGTAGCAGCTGTAAGATATTTTACAGTCACTTATCCGCATCATCCATGAGTACATCGACGTATGATAGCTCAATCTATCAAAATAAATTTCAATCATCCACTCAAATTTGTTTCAATGTTTGAGGAAACGATTTTTGATGCATTATATTAGCGATTGCGAACATAGAACATCACTGATAAACATTTCATTTTTCTGTTTCTTTTAGGAAGAACACCCTGATAAACATTAATCAGATACCACTAGTAATCATTCTACACTATAGATTAATAAAATGGTAAGGAAAAAAAATCAGTGCATAAAATTCAAAAGTCAATGGAAACTCCTTCAGTACATAAACACAATCTAAAGCAAAACCCAAACACCAATTAAGTAAAATCCATGAAAAAAAGAGAGTTGAAAGTGATATAGAAACAAGAAAATAATTAATCCAATAGTACCTGGCCAATTATTTTGTGCTTAAGAACTTTTTCTTTATCGAGAATCTTGATGGCCACATTCTTATTTGTCTCAACATTTCTTGCAAACTTCACTTTTGCAAATGACCCTTCGCCCCGCGTCCTACCCAGTTTATACCTTCCTACGCCGCAGATGTACATTTTGAAAGAAAATAAAATTAAGGAAATAAACACAAACTTATCCTAAAGAAAACAAATATGACAACAATAAGATTCTTATTCATAATTGGGATTCTGAAAGTAATCAAATCAAATATGACAACAATAAGATTTTGAAAGAAAACAAAATAAAGGAAATAAACACAAACTTATCCTAAAACTCAACTTTCTATAGGCTTAGTATAAGAGAGACAAAAAATAAAAAAAATAAAAATTGCAGCGGGACAGGGTCTTATCGTCACAGAGCCGGAGAGTGGAGAGGCAGACGACAGGGCCCCCACAACCGCAGCAGTCACCGGGAACTGGGAAGGCCGGCTATCGTGTTCGGTTGCGTGCAGAATAGCAATTGCAGCCTCGCAATCGCAGGGAAGAACAACCAAGGGTTTGCAAAATTTGTAATTGATTTTTTTCAATTGGAATGTCGAGTGCACAATGGTTATTATTCTTATTCATAATTGGGATTTGGGCTTGATTTTATTTAGAACGGAAGAGGTCCAATTGCCCAAAAAAGATCCAAAACGTAAACATAAAGAGGCTCAAAACATGATCTTGTACCTGTGTAACTGTGTCGTTTCTTCTTCCTCCTTTCTCCAACTTTCATCAGCGCCTGCTGTAAATTCCACTCGGCGGCACTATAAACTCCGATTGGATCCGCTCCTTATTCATAACATCACTCATCAACCCAAACAAAAGGGCCAAAACATTCATCTTCTTCCTCAGCTTCTCTTCCACAATTTGGTCTCTGCAACCTGTAAAAAAAAAAAAAAAAAAACCCCCACTTTGGGCAAAAAATAGGCCCCCCTTAGATT